AATTCACCCTAAGAGTCTAAGACTATCTTCTATATCTTCACCTCTCTCTGTTCCTATGACAATGGCATGAAAAATGATCATAAATTTTACAAATTTACCCCACCAGGTCCATATGAAGGAAGAAAGCTCACACACCTTTCACTATACGACACCAACAACACTAACGTAATACAGCTGGAAAAGACTTAATTTTTGTTTTCCCCATACAATCATATCTTTTTTTTTTCTCCCCTTTAATAACAGAGCACTATGGCAAGTGTTGAAATTTCTTTCTCTGTTTTCCCATAGATGATGTAAAAGTTCTGATTAAGAAGCTAACTAAAGCATAATCAATCACATGAAAATATCTCAAATTACCACCTAACACTATATACTTATATAACATTTGCCGACATAAAGATTACAATTAAGAATGTACTTTAAATTATACTATTAAGACTAAGCTTACCAGAGATGTGTCGCCCCCACGGAAAAGTCTCAATCCCATGCAATCTGCGAATACAGAGAGTCAAAAGAAAAAGTAAGTAATACTAATAAATTACAATGCATACGAAATTTAATACATGAACCAAAAAAAACAAAAAAGAAGCAACATAGCATTCAATATGAAGATTTCTGATATTATCCAAATCGAATTTATTGGATTCACACTTTTGAACAAATCATTCTCCAGAGAAATACGAAAGTATGTATTATTGCCAAATTCGCTAATTGGGAAGTAGAAAACGAGTAAACGATTAAGTCAAAAATTTGCAGAAAAAGTGAATCTAATCAGGAGAAAAAAATGTACCCAGGGGAGAATCGCAAACGGAGGCGGATTCGAGGACGAGAAACGCGAACCTGACGAAAATAAAAGGGAGTACGATTGCGAGCAGCAGCAGCAACAATAACAACGAACGACCAGAGAATCTCCTCGCCGCTAACGACGCGCATCCTCCTCCTCCTTTTCCGATTCCGACGCCGGGATTCGATATCGTAACCTTCTTAATCCCAGTCGCCGATATGTAAAACTTCATTTCTTCACACTTACCCTCACTTTCGCACACCGTCTCTCCACTTCCATCAATTCAAAACAGTAAGATACGACTCTATATTTTTCAGATCTCCGATCTCACTACACACACCAAAAACAACAAGGATCCAGATTCCAGAAGAAGAAGAAGACGCGATCAGCACAAACGCGAATCCAGAATTTGGATAACAACACTCAAATTTGAATCCAGAATTGTCGAGACTCGACGAAGAACGAACGAGACTTAGTGGGTTTGATCTGTACGACGAGAATAGAACAACATTCAAAGAGAGAATTTCTAAAGAAGCCAAGGAGACATGTAAACCAAATATATAATTAATTATTTTCGGTAAAAGGATATTTATTTCACCAGTTC